TTATGCTGATAAGCGACGAAAATCCTTGGAATTCCAAGTTGGTGACCGCGTTCTGTTGAAGGTCTCACCCTGGAAGGGAATTATACGTTTTCGAAAACGTGGAAAGCTAAATCCAAGGTATATCGGGCCATTCGAGATCCTTGCTAGAATCGGCCTGGTAGCTTAAAAACTCCTACTACCACAAGAACTCAGTAACATACACCCTACCTTCCACGTATCCAACCTAAAGAAGTGTCTGTCAGACGAGACTCTCGTAGTCCCACTCGACGAAATCGAGGTAAACGAGAGTCTACACTTCGTAGAGGAACCTGTAGAAATAATGGATAGGGAGATCAAGAGAACGAAACAAAGCCATATACCAATAGCGAAGGTCCGCTGGAACGCCAAGCGAGGGCATGAAGTCACTTGGGAGCGGGAAGATCAGATGAAACAGAAGTACCCACAACTTTTCCTCTAGTCGCAAGAGCCCGTACAAGATGCTAATTTCAGGACGAAATTCCCTCTAACGGGGGGATAATGTGACAACTGGCAAATTTCGTGTTAAGCAAGGTTTAAAATGTATCTATGTATAAGTACAACCACAATGTAACCTTGTTGTAATAAAACTTTGAAAACCAAAAGGGCATTGTATAAATAAGTATATATATATATATATATATATATATATATATATATATATATATATATATATATATATATACATACTTTGAAAATCATGTTTGCAATAAACATTTAAAAGTCAAGCCAAGTCAATATAGTAGGATTTGATGCATAAATTATGTCATGCCTTTGAGATTTTGGTTTTGGGGACCCATGAATATGAGGTTTCGGTTGTAGTGGGCCAAGAGCACATGCCTAGGCCGAAATCCCCCCCCCCCCAGGCCAAAATCACCCTTTAGTAGGCAATACAAAACCGAAAACACCATGGGAGAATGGGCTAGGACCGAAATCACAAGCTATGAAGGAACTAGGACCGAAATCACATGAACTTAGTGGTATACAAGGTGATTTCGGTCATGCTTTGGCCGAAATCACCAATTTGATTACCATCCCAAAGTGATTTCGGCTGGAAAAGTAGAAAAGGACAGTTGACTTTGTCATTTAGATGTTTTCCTCCTTTTCCCATACAAATTTACACCCAACATGTATCCATGCTATTACCCAACAGATCACAATGCAAATGTCCCCTCACTTTCTTTCCTTAAACACGGCAGAAACATCCACATACTCCCCACCTTTTTTCCATTTCTCCTTTCTATTCCAAATTCTCACAAGGATTAAGCACAAAGCCTCCAGGGATTAATTCTCCAAGCTTGTTCTTAGTATTTTAGTAAGCTTTTCTTGTTAGTCTAGTGTTTTACACACGGTCATGTTAGTTTCATCCTATTTACACATATTGTTATGTGATAAAACTCTTAGGATAATCTCATCTTCAAAGAGTTCATCAACCTCATTCAAGTGTTTAGGCTTAGAAATCTTCACACCATCTCTTCAAACAACCCACAAATCCACTCAAGGTGAGTTCATACCCCCGCATTTTAGAGATTTTCATGTTTTAGGGCCGGGGGGGGGGGGGGGGGAATACAATTCAAATTTGTTTATCACATAATACTTGCATGTTTCATCTTCATGTTAAAGTATAAGCCATTATTTGCATAAGATGTGATTATTACTAGCTTTTGTACAAATATTTGTGATATATTAGTTTTCAAATGCAAAACTAACAAAAACAAAACATGATCCATGTTATAAAAATCATGAGAAAAATTATGATTTGCAAAACTATAAGGTTTTTGGAAGCTTTTTACGAAAATATGACCTTTCTAACAAAAAGGAGTATATTCCTGTTATTTCACTACTTTGTGGGTTACAACCCAAAAATATGAATTTTGATCTTACTTTTTGAAACTAAACAAGATGATTACTATGTATTTATATAAATGATTATATAAATGTTCTTGATAAACAAACATGATAAACTATAATTGATATAGTTTGGGAGTCACAAAACTACACTATCATTACAGAAGAAACATATAATTATTTAAAGGTATAATTATTCCATTTACAAGAAAAAGGAGTTTTCAGTTCATGTAAATCGATTGATACTGGTTATGAGACATTTGGCTTCACCGTACCCACCAGAGTATACATACTAAGACCTGCATTATAACCAGAGTCTCTTGTAGGGAGAGCGTGACACTTTTGTATAGATCTATACGGGATTGACAAACCCGCACCTAAACTCTTAGCTACAGTTAGACCGGCAGGTCTGGGGTGACAAATGTCGTAATAGTTCCGACGCCCGAAGCATTTCGTTCAGGCCACTAGTCGCATTAGTATGGTTATAATTGTTGGATTAGGTGTCTAAGCCCATGACTATAATTGGTATGTACTTGACCCGAGAGTAGCATGGTCCATTTGGGTTGCATATCACCAGTACAATTTGATAGGATGGACTTTTGAGAAGAGGTTATTTATGATTTGTTAATATATTATAAGTTCTAATATATTAATATGAAATCATATTATTTAACTAGTATTGATCAAGAATTAATTTTGTGATCAAAAGAGACTAATTAAATATATGGGGATTGATTTGGTAAATCATTCATTCTTATGGTGTGGGCCAATGATCCATGATTCTTTAGGTTGGGCTAAACCAATGTTACAACCCATGGGTGATCATGGGGGTTTAAACCCATGGAGTCTAAGGAATATGGAAGGTCACACACATTAGGGTTTACATGGTGTAACCCTAATCTTGCCACACTATATAAGAAGCCCCTTAGCATCCAAAGTTGGTACTAGATACACTAGTGATCCTTGGAGTTCCATGAGCCGATTTTGGTGCAATAAATACTCTCTCAAAAGTCTCATTTGTTCTAGGTGTGTTGTGATTCCATTTGAGGTGCAACACTTGGGGCACTAAGTTCTTAAAGGCCAAACTCAAGAAGTTCTACAAGCTACAACAAGAGGTAACTCTACAACTCCCTTTTATGTTGTTTATATCAATTGTATGCTAATTGTAGGCTTAATGCTTTGAAACAATATTGCATGTATAATTAGAAAAAACATAGATCCAAAGCATTTAGGGTTGTATGTGCACCATAGGATGTTGTAGTATATTAAAACCCATCAATAATAACTCACATAGGGTATCGACAATACATTTGATTTACGAGTTAACATACATTCAAGTAGTTTTATATAAAGATAAAACTTCATAACACTATTTTCCAGTACAACATTACCTACATTTTTAGCCTTTGGATTAAGACTTACAGTTCACTTAAAGAAAATATTGGATTTTCTGGAAGTATACACTATCATTTTACACGAAACAGTTGCAAACTCCTTCTCATACAAAACGCTTATGAACTCACCAACTTAATTGTTGACACTTTTCAAAATCATTTGTATTCTCAGGAAATCAGTAAACAGGTAACCACATAAGTTTTTGGTGGATGAGACGTCGTCGCATCATGTTACTATTTTCTCATGTGCATTTGATAAAATGTAAACAATGTTTTTGAGTACGATGTAAACTTATTAAAAATTCAATACAATAGTTGTAATGCTTTGATTGCTATTATTCAATTGTTATGATACTGTACATGAAGTCATCCGCCCCCAGACATTTTCGCCGTTGTGGTTTGGGGGTGTGACAAAAATCGCGACTGGCTGTTACTAGAGGGTCACGTCGTGGGCATAGGTGGCCACGACGTGGCGGTTGACTAAAGTCAACGTTAACCGTGAACTTTGACCATTGATTTTTGACTTGAGTTGACTTTTGGTCAAGCACCTAGTTTGGAGGAAGAGCTCAAGGTTTATTTGGTTTGACTGAATAGGTGGTGTGTAGTAGCAGTACTCTATCAGTGAGAGCAGTAACAGTAGAACATTTTCTGCGAGGTGAGTCTTCTCACCACACTGGTGGTCGAAGACTCCAATGCCGATCCACTGATTTGTATGTGTAGGATGTATGTGACTATGTGACTATTACTGATATGATTGTATGATATATGCATGGAGCCAATTTGGGCTCGGAGTCATTATGGACTCGAGGTTGATACAGACCTGGGAGTTGATACAGACCCGACACAACTACTTGATGTTACATGGCGTTGATACGGAACCGGGGGTTAACACGGACGCGACACAGCCACTTGCTGTTATATTTATGTGTATGTTATATGTTGTATTTTAGGAAACTCACTAAGCTTTATGCTTACAGTTATGTTTATGGTTTCAGGTACTACCGGTACAAAAGGAAAGGGTCTGACGTAATGGCACAAGATCCCCCTCATGTTTCCGTATTTATGATTTCTGTTACTATGATGTTTTGGATTATTTGTATTGTGGTTGTTTGTGAGACATATGATGTATGGAATTAATGATTTTAAAAATGAAAATTTTTACTAGTTTAAAAAGAACGTTTACAATTGCTCTTATATTTGAAATACTTTGTGAATGTATTATTTGAAAATGAAAAATATCTATTTAAAACTAATATTTGAAGATATATATCACGGACATTAAACTGTTGTCCACAATTCTTTACGTTTTAAAAATCTGAAACACATATCATCGTAAGCTTATTTTCCAAGAGACTCAATTAACATCTAGTTATATCATCGTGACGCCATTCTCGAAGTAAATTCCAATTTATAGAGATATTCGTGAAACCTTTTTAATGAAATAAACTAGTGTTTCTTTTTTTTTTTTTTTTTGTGTTCGTAACATGATAAGAATTTAATAGATATCTTCACGTCTGGTTGTAATTGTAGCCGGGTCATAATGTCACACAATTGATATTTATCTTTGTAGCTTCGAAAATGTAATGACTCACACACGTGGCTATCATCTAGCGCAGGTGTTTGCATGGATGACACGTGGAACACGACGTGTCGCCTCTTTAATCAACGTCGTCGACTTTCAAAGCCTCATTTCAAGCACAAAACACGTACAAAGACGCAAAAAGACAGAAACGAAAGAACAAAATGCACTCGGTAAAAGAAAAGGTGAGCAATGCAGCCAGTGCTGCCAAGGCACATGTCGAATCATACAAAGCCAATATGGAAGAGAAGGTTAGTGAATCCTGCGTCCACTACATGTACATTCGGTATTAATTCACAACATGTATATACATCTGGATGTTCATGGTACTGTTTATAATTGCAGGCAGAAAGAGCAACTGCAAGAACTCAGGAAGAGAAAGAGATAGCACACCAGCGGAGGAAGGCGAAGGAAGCAGAAGCCAAGATGAATCTGCACGTTGAGAAAGCTGAACATGCAGCTGAGAAGCTGCATGGGAAACACCATGTTCTTCGCCATGACACGGTGGCCGGAGTTTATGGTGGACATCATCAGACGCCTGTTGGTACGGTTGGCCAAACAACAGCTACTGGAGTTGTTCCTGGCGCTGTGCAGCAGCACCACCAGCAGCCTCTTGGTGCGGTAAACCCGGTCACTGGAACCACCGCTCCAACTTATCCTCTAGGAGGACATCTTCATGGACATAACAAACATATGTAGTTTTGTTTTGGGTGTTTAATTTCGTGTGCTTTATGGTATTTAAAATTCATATAGGGTCGTAATAAAATATTGAAATGAAATAAGTCTGATGTTTCGATTAAATGAAAGGGAGGCTATGTTTATGATGAGTAGTGGATCTGTAACACATAGTGTAGCGCCATGCTTTGTCATTCTAGTATGTTCTGTATTTTGATTTTGGTTTATACATTTGACTTTTTTTTTAGGTTTGTTAATATTTTATATTTCTACTGCATATAAAAATGACTTGCACGTAATTTCTTGTTAAAGATCATAAGAATTATTCAATACATACAATTTTGGGGCGCTTTTAGGAAGTTGTTGATTTTTTTTTTTCTATTAAAAAGGAGAAACTATTTTTTACGAATATAATAACATATGAGGTCAATTTGCTTCGTGGGCAAGTTTCTTCATTTAAAATTCGACTGTGCGAGTATGTGACTTTGAACCCCATCCATTTCTTCTCTACCGGTGATTTTTATCTTCTTCACCTGTTACTCTTCTCATTTTTATACAAACGGCACATGCAGTATAATTTTTCAACAATCTGTATGACACACGTATCAGGGGAGAGGTAGATATTTTTTACTACATGAATAAAACGCTTTTGGTTTCTTTTTCAGATAGAGTATCGATACCTTCGTTCGTCTTCCTGATGCTGCTCAACTTAATTTCTCGGTAATTTCTCTTCTCTTGTTTTCATTTGAACTGAAGTAAAATATGTTATACGTTTTTGGATTGCAAGGTTACTAGGTTTTATATTTCTGTATTTTGTTCAGCGGCGATTTAGGGGTTTCCGAGTAGCCGGTGTAAACCCTTAAATTTTGTAGCATAGTTAATATTTTTTGGTGTAATGTAATTTTCCTACATGCAACCTGATATTTCCTGCTTCCGTCATTGCATGTCAGTACAATTATTCTAGAAAAAGCTTATTCATTGCATGTTAGTACAATTATTCTAGAAAAAGCTTATTGATAGATCGGTATGTGAAAAGTGAATACATAAAATTGAAGGGAGATATAATCCTGGAAATATTTAATGTGTATGTGCTAAAGTAAGAGATATTTAATGTGTATGTGCTAAAGTAAGAGGGCCGACTCAAGTGGATTTGAGGCCCAAGACAAAATATAAGAATAAAGTATTTTTTTGCCGCCACCTGTGACGACTTAATATCAAAAGCTTTTTTATTTCTAAAATTATATAAGTAGATATATAAAAATGGGTTCCGAAAATTTGGAGGCATGAGGCCATCGTCCATAGTGTTCTACTCTTTGATACGACCATGCTTACTAATGTACAATTAATCTACAAATATATGACTTCCAAGTTCTCAAAGTAGAGAATGCTTTTGTTTGAACTTGTGAACCTGAGGAACAAAATAGTAGAATCGGGTTTATATGAATATAATGTCTATGTTACGATGCGTACAAATCACTACAAACAAATGACACTCATTGTGATTTGTCGGAATATTTGCAATTAGGTTTACGTACCTCTATGCGACTTGTCGGAATCATTGTAGTGATGTATGGTTTTATATACTAAAATTTAATCAAAGTTTCAAAGTTATGAAATTGGTTTATTTTCAATTGGACTGAAACACATAGTAGGTAATGTACATAATCGTTTAACAGTATAGTTGTGGCAAGATCAGGTGTCAATCACAATGGGAACGAGCATGATTACATCAAAAACTCAAATGCTAATTAAACTATACACAATTACACAAGGGGGGGGGGGGGGGGATTTTGTTTAAACTCAATTAAGTTAAAAATTATAAACGAAAACAAAACTAAAGACTAGATTTAGAGACAGAGAAAATAAAGTAGATTTCGAATCTTCATATTTTTGTAACACTCCATTTTACCGTTTCGTAGGATTCAATATAAACCATTGTTTATAAAATTCGAAGTAGAAATATATTGCTCTTTAGCCCAAGTAATCATCATGAACATGTAGAAAACGTCGATACAATTTACGTTGATATATAGATTGCTTTGATCGGACTTCGTATTAAGAAGTTATGCTTATTCGAAGTTTCACGATTAAACCGGTGCGACTCTATATATCGTAAAAAATGAATTTTTGATAAATCACTTTTTAGCCTAAGATATCTAAACTAAAGTCATAATAGTCGTTAAACCAAGAGTGTGCATATAGAGAACGCCCAAATCCGACTCTGTATGGAATATATATGATTTTTCGAAGTTTCTGTGCAACCGGGTATAGCAGTGTGCGACACAAAATTTGAATTTTAGAAAGGTAGATTATTAGAAAAAATAATTTAAACAAGAATTGAAGATCCCATTAATAGGAGTCCGTTGATATAAAGAACATCAAGAATGGAGTCTATATGTAGGAGTTATGCCTTCTGTACCGATCTCTAAAAGTGTCTAAGCCTATCAAAAATATAAATTTTTGATATAGTGAGAATTAGCTGTTGGGATCTAAAGAAAAGTTGTAGATCTCGTTGAGAGATTTCCGAAAATATAAATAACGTTAAAAACGGAGCTCGTATGAAGAAGTTACACCATTTTGAAAATTTGTAAAAAATGGCACGCGTGAAGTGCGTTGCGCGCATGATGACATGGCACCACGAAAGAGTCCTATGTGGCCATGTCGGCGGAGCCCATTTCTTCTGAGACATTGTGACATGGTTCCACAAGGTTATGACACGTGGCATCATAGGAAGGTAAGACGTGACACCTTCTAGAAGAGGCATATGTGGACCACCGATATCGCGACACATGGCACGAACCGGGAGGAGCGACGTTGCAGAAGCGCACGATGCGCACCCCAGATGCATGACACACACTTGGAAAAAATCACCTATAAATAGTCTCTGCCATATAAGCTCCTCACCCATTACCCCAATAGCCTTTCTCTCTTGATAGTTCTTCGGTTTTAGCTTTTTTTTCCCATTCGTTTTTAGCCTGCAGCGAAGCCCTGCGACTCTCCTGAGCACTCATATGAGTAGTAGCCTTCGAGTAGGAAATATCGAGTCAGTATTCTGTCTGCTTAGATCCTGGTTCTCATCTAGGATACTATGTAAGTGAACTACACTTACTCTGCTTCCGTGTAATTGATGATTATAATTATAGCCGTCATTAGGAACCTATAAAAGCTTGATCCGCCAGTAACTCCAGTCATAATACTGATTGACCTACTTATAAGAGAGGTGTCTAGAATGGTCATGTTGGCTTGGTTGTTGGATTTCAGAAAGGCTAGACGCCGAAATGGTCCTGCCTCCCAACTGTCCGGCCTCGCTGATCCTTATTTGATAGAATTCTCAGTATTCATTAGTATTAGTGAAAGATCTAGTTTTCCTTACCAGATTGTCATAGAGATTAATAGGATAAATTATTATAGGTTAATGCTCATTCGACATGTTATCCGTCAGTAGAATCACCCAGATAGCTGTCAATCTTCCGAGTCATTGTCAAGGTGAGTTCTGTTGGGTTATGAGCATAACATCATTCCTATGGTGTACATGCAACCCTAATTGCTTTGATATAGGTTTTTCTAATTTGAACATACAACATTGAATACCAAATCAACAAACCCTAAAACTAGCATACAAAATCTGAAAATCACATATGATTAGGGTTTAGATCTTACCTCTCTTTGTTATGTAGTAATAACAAGATTAATCCTTTTTGATCTTGACTTCGGAAAGCCTAGTGCCCCAAGTGTTGCACCTCTAATGGAGTCACAAACACTCTATGCAAAGGATGATGTAGGAGAGAGGATGATTTCGACCACTCTAGGGTTTCTTCAAGCCTTGGACGAAAATCCCTTGTAATAGGGTCTATTTATACTTGTGGCTGCTAGGGTTTTAGGTGGAAACCCTAATCTGACTGCTTAGGCGTTAAGCAGCCCATGGACCCCCTCTAGAATAGCCCTTGGACAAATTCCTTATGGGCTTCCCAAAGAATTCGTCCAACCTTATTCCAAGGTAATCTATCAGCCCAAATTGCAACTATCAAATAATTACAATATCAGTCCCCTTTATTTAATCAGTCTCTTTTAATCACCAAATTAATTTCCGATCAATACTAATAAAATAATATGATTTCCAAATAATATATTAATCTTGTAATATATTAATAAAACTATTTTGAGTATGAATTTATTATTCATATAATAAATTCTACTCTCTCTCCTCTTGTCATCCTATCAAGTTGCATGAGTGAAGGCAACCCAAAAGGACCATGCTCGTAATCAGGTCAAGTACATACCAAAATAGTTATGGGCTTAGACACCTAATCCAACAGTCTCCCACTTGGATAAGTCTAATAACTATTTTGCAAGTACGAATTCAGAACCTGATTAGCAATCATGGCTTTCAAAAGCTGTTTTCGAACTCTGATCTTATCTGCAACGTGTCCTTTAGATAAGGGATCATCTATTCCTCCATTCTAGATATTGTATGAACTGAGACATGGATTTTAATCATACTATCTGTTCATTTGCGGTTTCACGATTTCCGATTTAAGACGACTGACAATAGACTTCAGTCGAACACATCAACTTAGTCCCAGCTTGGCCAAGCGCTTAGGGTGTCATCATTAATTCATCGAGGGGCCCACATATATCGCTTTTATCCCACATTGGGTAAAAGGAACGGATAAACTTCGACTCAAATTGTGACAACCCGAAAATTTTTCCCTTGTAACTCCAGTCAGTCAATTCAACCGAGTGTCAGACCCGTTTCTGTTATCTTTTAGCATTGTTTAGAGTCTGTTTAAGGGTTCTAAGCTCAGTAAATTCAAGCATTGGGTATAGGATTGAGTTGTGTAAGTTCTTCGCGTTGAAATCGAGCCAGACATTCCATCAGAGGGAGTGTACGGCCACACACATGAGTGTACGGCTACACCCATCATGACCGTACACCCCCTCCATATGTGTGATATCCCTTCATTCCTAAGTCATTTCTTCAGTTTCCAAGTCAAGAACTCGAGTTTTCTCTCAACTATCATCAA